CAAGAGCCGAATAGAAAACGCGCAAAATAGTGTGCAGTAAAATGTGAACAACAATTCAAAGTTTTCTTAAATATATCCATAATATAAAAATAAACGAAGATATAACACAGGATATGAATTCAACCATAAAATAACAATTAATTTAACTCGGTCTAGGTATTCAGGCAGTGAAATGAGTGGATTTGAAGATGTTTCATGCAGGAATGGTGGCTATAAAAGCGACACAGATAGTACCTAATATATGAAGCTAAAATGTTGTTTTAGCATTAAATATTTAGTCCACTGTTTAACATTGGAAGGTTGCTTCAAGAAAAACATGATTGAAAAATTATCTGAGTATGAATATTAGTTGAGTAGCTGTGTATGAGATAATAGTCGGATAAAGATTATTTGTTTCAAGAAGAAGACAACTTAGGCATGAATTGCCATATTCAGAGCAGGTGCATTCCGATGAGAGCAGCTAGAATCTTAAAAGAAAAGGGCCTTCCAAAGATGGACCGAGATTGCGAAATCTATCAAAAGCAAAGGTGTGAGACGAATGAACTGATCCTTCAGTTGCTGCCGGTAGACGATTGAAATCGGTCTTAGCAACAATAACCGATTGTGCTATTTGTTTTTTTGTCGTTAGATACCCTAAGCGAGTGAGTAGACGAACTGCAAGACGTGGAGTAGCCGGACTCAGAAGATAGCTGGCCAAGCGCAGAGCTTCTAACACAACAGATAAAACGACCTCTCTGGTTCCAGGCATCAAGCGATTTTCTAAATTGCTTCCTCCGAGTGGCAAGTGCCACGGCTCATGTCGAGTAATGAAGGCGTTGGCCTCCCGAACAGTAGTCATTAGCCGGCCGAGCGCCAAATGCGGTTGGACTTGGTGGTACCAAAATTGATCAAAATCGTTGGGTAGACTATCAAGACTGGACAGCATCAAAAAATAACTGAGATGAAGCTAAATGTAACTCTGAGCATAAAATACTAGATTTTTAACGACCTACATTTATATTAAGCAGCAAGACGTATAAGAATGAAGTCTATGACAAAGATGAGATGGAATCATTACCAGTGTTGATCATCAATACACAGTGAGTAAATATAGAAGATGCGTTAAGCAAATTAAAAGGATGTGAATGCAATTTATGATTACATCCATTAAAAGGAGAAATTGTAATTTTAGGAAGATTCGGAAGTATAAGGAAAATAAGGAAACTCGGACAAGGATGAATCAACTAGATTTCATTGGGACAAGAGAATGAAAAGAAAAACAAGCCCAGTGATAAGGACTAAGTGGCCCTATATTATTAAATGTGTTGTAGGGGGCGATATTTGAATTTTCCCACAATGATATAAGTATCTCACAATGCCACTGAATTCCATTTTAGCTTACTTCCCAAAAGGTTATAGTCAGAATGGACTGCAATTTTGACATAATCTAGATCTCCTCAGCCCTCCCAATGAGATTCGGAACTGGATAGTAAGCAGCATTACAACACGTTACAGCCAGGTCAAACAACCTTGGGTTCAGCGAGCCATAAGGCAAAAGTATTTATATTTTGCTACTGAAATCGATGAAGCTAGTTATTATCTAAGGTTCCAGATATATAGTATTTCACTATTTAAAAGTAGCCCAAGGAAGCTAAACATTTACAATATTTACTGCTGCCTTTAATTGGATCTAATCAATGCATTGTTTGGTAATCAAAATAAAATAATAAGACCGGCCAAACCTAGTAATACCATAATGGTCTTCATAGATAGTAGCTTATTAAAATCGAAGGACCGTCGGACATTCAGTATATGAAAAGCCGGAATGAAAGATGTCTTCATCAATAGGCTGATTAATCTGCTGTAAGCGATATGGCATCCCTCCTGTAATTAGCATATTAATGATGAAATAACGCTTTGACAAGATTATTGTAATAATATAGTGCTTGTCAGAGGATTTTGAGGAAATGCACGTGAAAATAGGACGCATGTAATCATAAGAAATAAACTGGCAGGAAA